ATGTTCCTTTTTTTCCTAAACAAGTTCCAAGCACTGCAATCTTTCCCACAACTCTTGACAACAAGAGTGTCAGCTAGCTATGTCTAGATTAGACTTAAATGAAGAAAGAGCATACTTTCTCTCACACTCTCCTAGAATCATGCAGAACAGGAGAACCATTGGCAAGTGATGCTGTAGCTGATTCTTGGAAAAACCTTTTGATCTCCTCCAGCACCTCAACACTTCCACAGAAGAACAAGATGTGTCACTTTTTTGGATGAGAACTGCTGACTAGCCTTTCTTTGCCACCTGATCTTCTGTCAAAACAATGCTCAAACCTTTGCTCTTGTTTCACTTCCAAAAGTAGCACAGGTGCCAGGCATTCCTTACTATAAACAAGAACCAGCTGGCTTCTCTCTGGGTAACAGCTGAGCAAACATTGCACACATTGGCTGCTTGCCTCTAGCTGTTTGCCTCCACTCTTGATTCTCAGCTGGAAAGAACACTATAGTATTGGATTGTTTTGGAGGGATCAATTTGGCATACTTGTCTATGGTTAGTTTGTAAAAATGCATTTCCAGCAATGAGATTTAATTTAAAAAATAGAACCAACTTTGTGATCTCTTTAAAAGCAACGTTATAGTGGGAGTTTCCTTGTCAAGATTTATTCAGGGGGTGTTTATTGTTTCTTTTTTCTGACTGAGAGAATATGACTTGCCCAAGGTCACCCACTTAATTTTCATGGCTCAGAGAAGAATCAAACCCTAATATGGGTTGCTGTATAGCCATGTTCCAGGCTATGGCAAACATCCTCACAACCACATAGGATGCCTACCATAGATGCAGGTGAAACATCAGGAGAGAATGCTTCTAAAACATGGCCATACAGGCCAGAAAACACACAATTATCCAGTTATTCCAGCCATGGAAGCCGCCATAAACCCTAGTATCCTAGCATGTTTTCCAGCACTCAAACCACTGCATCATGCTTGTTTTCAAAAACATATTGATTTATCTCATCTCTACATTGTCAGAGTAATCCAATTGATTATATAGAATAGAAACAGTCAAGTTCAAAGCCATCCAACACTTTGTGAACAGGAAAAGGGGAGGGGAGAGCACATTTTGAGTTGCCAGACAGAGTCTCAAATGGTAAAGCGTAGCAGAGGAATGCCCAATATGCTTTCCAAAAAAGGTCTTCTTTTGGTGCTGAAAAAACATTACAGAGGGGACGGGGTGAAATGTTTTCTCAATAAGATACTGCAAATGGGACCGCCACTGAAATGGAATTGGGAGTCACCTTGAGTTTTAAAAAACACACAGCATAATATGTGCGTGTATCATGACATGTGCCATTTTCAGACTGACTTCAATAACAGCACCCACATACAGCACTCTATAATAATCCAAGTAAGAGTTTGCTAGAGCATGGATCATGGGTTTGTTTTTGTTTGTTTGTTTCATGTCAGCAGCAACTTGAGAGGCTGCAAGTTGCTTCTGGTGTGAGAGAATTGGCCATCTGCAAGAACATTGCCCAGGGGACACCCAGAAGTTTTTTATGTTTTACCATCCTTGTGGGAGGGTTCTCTCGTGTCCCTGCATGGGGAGCTGAAGCTAACAGAGGGAGCTTAATCCGCTCTCCCTGGATTCGGTCATGCCAGAACAAGAGTTTAACCCATTGCACAAGTGCAGACAGAAATAAAATATGCCCTGCCAGAATTGGAAACAACAAGGTGAGATGTATGTTTGCATGAGCCCCTTCCAAACAGTGGAATAAAATCCCACATTATCTGCTTTGAATTGGGATATATGGCAGTGTGGACTCAAATAACCCAGTTCAAAATAGATATTGTGGGTTATTTTATCTTGATATTCTGGGATATAGGGCTGTGTGGAAGTGTCCTTGGTTAGCTGTCCAAGGCCCCTTCTACATTGTCATATAAAATTCAGATTATCTGCTTTGAACTGGATTATATGGCAGTGTAGACTCATATAATCCAGTTCAAACCAGATAATGTGGATTATTTGCTTTAATAATCTGGATTATATGACAGTATGGAAAGGGCCCAAATGCCCACCATTGAGGGGTCATGTTCTCCCTTAGGGTTTGTTGACCTTGGTCAAGTCACACACTCTTGGCCTCAGAGGATTGCGATGGCAACTCTCTTCTGAGGAAATCTTGCCAAGAAAATCCCGTGATAGATTTGGCATAGGGTCACTATAGGAATCAATTTGAAGCCACACAAAAAACAACAGAAAGCCTTTCATTGGAGGAAGGGAAATGTTGGATCTAATGTGTAGCATGTAGCAGGTTGGTGTGACCAGCAATCTTTTTGCAGATTCATCTCTTTAGTTCCTCTTTAAAACCCTAGGTCAATATCCCTCTGAGATATAGGTGCACACTTTATTAGATGTATTTGGAGTTGGATTGCCCCATGCACTTTGTTGTGTGTACTTTTCCTCTTGCAAAATACAATAAAGGCAAATTTTAACTAGGAAGAAATATTGACTTGTGTTAGGACAGGTGGAAGTATTTGGGTAAAGCACTGCCATACTGCGTGTACTTTGTCCCTGCACTTTGTTGGCCTTTCGGTAAACAGTGAAAAGGTTCTTCAGTTCATTTCACGTGCCACACAAAGTCTGCTCAGCATCCACTTAAAGAGGGAACCAAGAAATGCAGTTATAAATGGAAGGAGAACTAACATAGGAGCAAACAGAGGAAAACAAGCTGGGGCAAAATGTGCAAGATTGTAGACCATTTTTTATAATGGGACTGTGTGACATAAAGCTCTTTATAGGTGGGTGTCGGTTAATTGTTTTTATTTAGTGATAGGCCAGGTATTTGGTAAATGGCCGTAATCTTGGATCAGAAACATAAGTATTCCATGTAGCTACACTTCTGTAGTTGTTTTCCAATGTGATCACCCCTAACTTAACTTAGGCGATCCCTTGTAGTCCGAGGATGACGGTCCTTCAAGTTCGGTGTCCTGGCGGTGGGTCTGTAGGTGACTGTGGAGCCCTATTCCCTAAGACTCACCTTGGAGGACACACAGCCTTCCTCCCAAACATGGCCACTTTCATATTGTCAGAAAACATAGGGCTAAGCAGCAATACTTCTAGCTATTTTCCTGGAGCTAGATGTGCTACAAGAAGCACCTGGAGGGACCTCCAGAGGTTCTTAGGACCTCCTTGAATATGACATCTTTGCAGTACATCCAGCTAGAGAGAAATAGCTGGGCATGTCACCATTGTAGGAGCAGGGGTTTAGGAAGGCCTTTGGAAGTTGAGTATCTTCCAACTTCCAACCTTTACAACAGCAAAAAAAGGTGAGTCTCTGTAGTGTATGTTGGACTGATATTGTCATAAATCACTAATAGGATGACTATTCTTTGGGGGAGGGCACAAGCAAGAGCTGCTAAATGTCATCAGAAAGTAGTGGAAAGGCAAAATTATTTCCTGGACTCAAGAGATTTCCCATTAGGATATGAGTAGTGGACCACAACAAACTACAAATCCCAGGATTCCAAAGGATGGAAACCATGGCAATGGTGTCAAACTGCTATCATTCTGTAAAGTGGATAAGCTGTTAGCATACTATGTAAGTATATTAACTAGGATATTTCTACTGGCCAGAGCCCCCACTTTGAAAAAAGAAGGAATATTCACCCAGAATGGATCCCTCTCTCCCTTTGTAACTTGTGGATAGTGAATAGTTAAGGGGCGACACATGATATTCATGATCAAGCAACAACTGTGAATATGAAAGTTGCCTAGATTTACTCATCCATGACTCTTCCATTTTCATGATCTTACTTAGCCACAGTTGTGACACTGTCCTGCTGACCTACTTTACTGAGCATCAGCTTCATGGAAAGAGGTCAATTCTGCCAGCGATCTGAGCATGGAATGACATTGTTACCATGTTTTTTTTGCGGGGGGGGCAAGGCCATTAAAGATTATCAAGTTCAATATACTTTCAGCTTACCCAGAGAGAGAACACTGGCTTTTAAAACCAATATTAATCACTAATAATTAAATGTCTCCTGTTAAGAAATAGTCCCTTCATCTGAAAAGAAAGGACCTGCTAAAAATGATTAGTTCATATCACTAGCCCACCGTATACTATTTTTTGTCCTTTATTTGTTGTTTGCTTGTGTCAAGTATATACCCAAAGTATTTGTCTGCTCTTATTTTCCACTATTAAAATGTTTTTTTAAAAAAAGATGCATTTTATGCATCTTTTTAGTTTTGAGACTTTTACTTTCAATTTTCTCAAAAAATTCTTCCAACTTCTATTATGACAGAAATATTTGTGTCTGCATTTCATTTTTTTATATAAGCACTAGGTTCTTGGTTGTGAGGGGAAAGGCTGGAAATCTCTAGATATAAGCACTAGAGCCTTCCCAAGAGTTTTTTTTTTTTTGGCCAGGGACCACTTCACGAGGGACCACTCTCCAACATTAGTATCAACATGGTTACAAATCAGTGTTTGGTCTACTTTAGGTTCGGTTTGGTTATTTGAGGTGCTGATTTGGAAAATTCCATTGGACAGACCACATCAGCTCTAGTTTCTGATACAGAACATATGACATCCAGTAGTCGCCATCTGCTCGCCTACAGAAAACCAGAAAATCTAGTGATGATGTGGTAATAGCAATCTTCTGTGGGTAATCAGCCTCTCCCCTCCTGACATCCCCGTTGCCTTGGTACTATAAGAGGGTTTCGCGAGACCAGTCGCTCTTGTTGCTGCATAGTTTCGAGGTAACGGTGTAGTAATGGTGAGCCCGCGAATTATATTTTCATTCATGTAGACCACTGGTGGTCCACTGACCACAGGTTGGGAACCACTGTTCTGTTAGGTAGAGGTGCAGAGAAGTGTAACCAAGAAAATAAACTGAATAGCAAAAGTTTGAAAAATCCTCACTACCTCTGAGGATGCTTGCCATAGATGCAGGCGAAACGTCAGGAGAAATGCCTCTAGAACATGGCTCTATAGCCCGAAAAAACCCACAAGAACCTAGTTTGAAAAATAGTTTATATTTATGCATAGAAATATTTTACAAATATTTATCAACAGAGATGTAAAATCACATTTGTCTTTTAGAAAACACCAGAGTACAGTAAAAAGGATTCAACGTTACCAGAAAGCAAAGTGCTTGTAGCAACATTACTGCAATTTCCACAAAAGTGCATAAAACTATGAATGGAAAATGCACCGGCCAAAATCCAGTTGTGAGTCTGAACCAGAAGATGCCCACGGATCAAAGAATTCTTAGTCTTTAAAATCTAGCATACGTTCTATTAATTCAATGTGTTTACTTTTGGGACTAACAATTGGATTTAGGCCATTGTATCCATTTCTGTACACTGCACAAAGACTCAAATATAAACAGTATTTTAATACTAATGATCATCAAAAGCTGTGTTGACCAAATCATACAGCGACAAACTTCTTTTAAAAAGGAAGTTTTTAAATACAATTGTTCAGTACGTAATATGATGTAAAAAGATACTTTTTTTTACACAAAAGAGTGCATATCAGCTTTATAAAACTTGTACAATTGTCCATATGTGCCCCCAAACCACCAAGTCTGTGATCCGAAGCAGGCTTCTGCAAAATTGTGTCAGGTTTTTAAACTTTTATCTGGTTTTGCTGTAATTTTCTGACTTTTGTAAGCCTCCTTGAGTCCCAACTTGGGGCAAAAGAGTGGGATATAAATAAACGGACGGATGGATGGAAGGAATCAAAGGAAGAAATAAAACCATCCTTCTTTGTGCAATCCACAATGGCTAAAGGGTGTGGCAAAAAAGAAGACTACATTATATGATACTACAGCTCACCAAACACAATTCCAGAAAGGTTGCACAAACTGAGAGTTTGCAGCAATCCTGTCTCAACTTGCTCCTTGCCATCAACCACACTGCCAGCTATCTATTCAGTAAGTCGCTTCTGGTGTGAGAGAATTGGCCGTCTGCAAGGATGTTACCCAGGGGACGCCCGGATGTCTTACCATCCTGTGGGAGGTTTCTCTCATGTCTCTGAATGAGAAGCTGGAGCTGACAGATGGGAGCTCAGCCTGCTCTTCAGATTTGAACAGTTGACCTTTCGGTCAGCAGTTCTGCTGGCACTAGGATTTAACCCATTGTGCCACTGTGGGTTACTGAAATCACTCCTGACACAAAAAAATTCAGCAAGTACGTTTTTAAGGCACATCTGCATAGATACAACTAGTAAAGGACTAGTAAAAGATTGTGAATCGTTTGATAATCCGTTACGCTCAACATGCCTGACTTTTGAGAAACACTATCATGATACAAATATACACACTCACCTGCACACATCCATTCCTACTGAGGCATCAAACAACTCCAAATGACTTCTACATAAGCTACACTGAAACAACTGTGCGCATCAACAATCCACGTACATTTCAAAGTGGTTTTATATAGAGACGACTCCACCAAATTGGTCCTTGGCTACATACATTTCTTGACATCAGGGGAGCTATCCTAAAATAAGTGGTTGAGCATATATATGTTTTTATATTCTCTATCATACACACAAACATACATACATCTTGATTCCCCCAAGTCACACCTCTGATCTTTAACTATACCTCCAAAATATAGTAATATTTTCTTAATCTGTTTTTTTTTAATCTACGCTTTACAGCATAATATATTTACAGCTGATAGGTCTAGAAAAGTAGATAGGAAGAAAAAAAAACATTTCATATGAAATATGGTGCTGAATGAGATTTCTATGGAGATTATGGACTGTGGAAAAAATCAAATAAGTCCAGAGCAAATCAAGTCTGAACTCTCCCTAAAGTCCAATATGACTAAACTGAAAATGTTGTACTTTGGTCGAGTAATGAGAAGATATGACTCGCTGGAAAAGACAATTCTTGGTAAGGCAGAAGGCAACAGGAAAAGAGGAAAGCCACCGTACAAGTGGATCGACTCAATCAAAAAAGCCATGGTGCTGAATCTGCAAGACCTGAGCAGGGCTGGTGATGGAAAGATCACTTGGAGGACGGAGAAATTCAAAGCCAACTTGGCAGCAGTTAACAACAACAAATATTTATAGTAGTTTACACCAGGTTATTCTGAGTTCCTAGAAAGTGCTGCAAATAGATTATATAGTCTACAATATTTTGCAATCTTTTCTATTTACAGTGTATAATGAAGCAACCAACATGTTCACACATCACAAGAAGGAGAACTTGTTTGCCTGCCCACCTCAGGCACATATTAGAGCTCTGCTTATGAATAAAGCACATTGATTTTCTTGCTGCTCATTTGTGTAACATTTTGAACAGGTTTCCAAGCAACATTTATGTTAAACTAGCCACCCCCTGCCACGCATTGCTGTGGCCCAGTCTGTGTATATGTATGTGTGTGTGTGTTTATTATTTATTTACCATATTTATATACCACCTTTCTCAACCCAAAGGCAACTCAAGGCGGTTCACATATATTTGTGTATATGTTTATATATGTGGTTTTGCGCATGTGTTGTAATGTATTTTTTTTTTGGCTTTTTAAGTCTCTTCCGCTGTGTTTTTCAGAGTGATGGTCACTCATTGGCCTGATCGGTGTATTGAGTCCAAATTTGGTGTCAATTCACCCAGTGTTTTTTGAGTTATGTTAATCCCACAAACTAACATTATATTTTTATTTCTATAGATGGGGGGACGGGACCCCCTAACCATATTATTCATAATCCAATACTTCATGTAATTCTTGTTCTCACCTACCCAGCACTTCTGTATTTTAAAAATTACCAGAATCATCACCTGCTAGTTTAACTGTCTTTACATTTGTAGTTAATTTATAACTTTGGGGGAGATATCTCCCTAAATAAATAAGCTATGCCACTTCTATGTGAAGAGAAGGTACACCTGGTTACTTCCCCAAGGACAAATGAGAGCAAGAAGTCAAGTCAGGTTGAGGGCTTGGTGAGTGGGCAAAGTTATCAACACCACTATTTTAAAAGAAGCACAAGCTGTTCCAAGCCCAAAAGGAAAACATGGAATTGTACACAGACTTGGAAAAGGAGGATTTGGCAGCCAACACTGATACCCTCTAGACACTTGATGCATCAGAAATTGGAGGATCATTAGCAACAGGTTTTAGCTCAGGAGTACAGCAAAAGAAGACATTCCTCCCCAGGACTTTATGGGAATATCGGAAGTACATGATGTGGCCCATTGCGACAAAGGACACAGAAATAAGGACAAGCAATCCAAAGGCTTCTGGGTTAGGGGCCAGGATGACCATGATGAAATGCATCAGATCGAGAAGGTAGTTCATGGAGTTTTGGACCCCATTGATGATTCCTCTTTCCGATTCAATCACATTTTCCTGGATCAGCTGAGTGACTGTCAGGTCAAATGACCACAGGCCTGTAAAATGAAAAAGAAAGCAAAAGCTGTTGGATTCTAGATGGGGAACATGGAAGACACAATATATCTCTCACTTTCAAAAAAACTTCACATTAAAAAAAGGTCTCAGAAAGGCCCCTTCTACACAGCTGAATAAAATCCCACATTTTCAGCTTTGAACTGGAATATAAGGCAGTGTGGACACAGATAACCCAGGGACCTTCCTCACAGCCCTATATCCCAGAATATCAAGGCAGAAAATCCCACAACATCTGCTTTGAACTGAGTTATCTGAGTCCACACTGAGATAATGAGGGATTTTATGCCTAGATATTCTGGGATATAGGGCTGTGTGGAAGGGCCAAAAGATACAATATCTTTTTCTCCCCAACTAGTGATAGTGAAACTCCTCTTAGGGCCATCCCACCTATATCCCAGAATATCAAGGCAGAAAATCCCACAATATCTGCTTTGAACTGGGTTATCTGTGTCCACACTGCCATATATTCCAGTTCAAAACAGAAAATGTGGGATTTTATTCAGCTATGTGAAAAGGACCCTACTTTTGCTAAAAGGTTTCTCCTCCACATATAATAAATGTACTTAAGGATGGGTCTACACTGCCCTATATTCCAGGAACTTCTTTGAACCAGATTATATGAGTCTACACTGCCTGATAATCTGGGACAATCAGATAACCTGGGATCAGAACCTGGGATATAGCGCAGTGTAAATCCAGCCTTCGTCACTTATCTCTTGAAATATCCTTAGACTGCCTGTTACTTTCCTGTTTGTCTCTTTTTTTTTTTTGAAACAAGTCTCACACTATTGAATGGGTCTTACACCCAAGGAAGGTGTAGGATTGATATCCAAATTCAGGATTATTATGAATGAATGAAACATATTAAGAAACCTAATTGCAGACCACTGAAATTTAGAGACAGCTGCAACATGACCATTCTCTTAACAAGGGATTTACAATCTATGGTTAATATTAACAGTACTGATAAGCAGTTGGTGGTAGACAATTCAAAGTGAAAGTCAGGATGATGTGGAAGTTTTGTTTTGTTTTTCTTTGTTTTGCAAAAGACTACGTGTTGGATTCAAAAATTTTATTCTACCAGCAGAAGAGCATTTCTTTTTGCCAATTCCTATCTCTTTCTGCAACTCACATAATCATGTCCCTTACTATTCTGAAGTTTTTTTTTCCTTGGGGAGACATCCAGGATTGCAATGGGAGGGAAATCAACAAATACAGGCCCCTTTTCCACTGCCATATAAAATCCAAATTACCTGCTTTGAACTGGATTATATGGCTGTGTAGACTCATATAATCCAGTTCAAAGCAGATAATGCATATTATCTGCTTTGATAATCTGGATTATATGGCAGCGTAGAAGGGGCCATAGCCTCCATCCAGTGAAAAGAAATCCAAAACCTCTTCCAGATGGAAGTTGCATTCCATGAGAGGCTTTTGCTGGATCCAGTCCTATACATAAATCAGTCAATAGACATACACACAGAGATATATATCTGTAGATATGCAGATGTAAGGAGAGAATGCTAAATAGCTACTTTTGCATTACCAATTTTATATTTGATGAGGTTAGTAGTATTTTGTACTACTTTTGGACTACAGTTTTCTGCACACATTCATCACTGAAGCCAATTTATATTCAGATGAGGTTAGTAGTATTTGGGACTACAGGATTGTGCTACTATAGGTTTAGCAATGAGATATTCAGCTAACACTCCAACTCCCTTTTCTGACAAAAGTGACAATGGTCTCCACTTGTTGCTGAACTTTTAACTCCATGGCCAATAAGATTGCTGGAGTTGAGAGTCCAAGAACATCTGGGGAGTCAAGACTGAGAACTATCAATGTATGATTTAAGGAGAAGAATCTACAAATATGCTTCTTCAGACAAGAAAAGGCATGAACTTACCAACTCTTGCAGCAATGACGCCTGCAAACAGAAGGCTAACAGAGATAAGAGGCACAGAGTCGGGAGCCAGCCCTGGATCAGAGGTAGACCCATTGACCAAAGGCGACATTGCAGTTGTAAAGGGGATTTCAAGGAGATTGCCTTCAGGCACCATGGTAGGCAATGGACTGCTTTCAAACAATCTAGCGCTGATGTCGGCAAATGGGGAAACTGTCAAGTCCAAAGGACTGCCGGGCATGAACACAGAGACCACGCACAAGACCAGCGAAGCAAGCTGCGCCACTCCGGAGATGATGCCTGTGCGTACCAGTCCACACTTGCGACGCAGCCAGGTGAAGGCCACTGTGCCCAGGATTCCTGTAATGGCAGACGCCCCCATCAAGAGGCTGAGTGTGGAGCCACTCAGTCCCTGAGTGTATGCATAGCCCGTCGTAATGCAGTCAAAGCCAAGGACTGTCATGTACAGGAAGGCCAGGGCCATGCCTGCAAGGAACACAGGCTGGTTGTAGTAGGAAACCCATCCATCACGGAAGGTGCTGAAAGGCTCAGCCATCCGAGAAAGGCAGCTGACCTCTTCCTCTGGGTTGGGTGACACAATAGCCACCTCGTTTTCACCAATGAGCTGGGCACCTTCGGTGGGCTTTGGTTCACCATCTGAAGAAAGAGGCAGGGGTTAAATACTGTCAGTCTTTGTTCTTGCTGCTGTTGTGTGCCCTCAAGGTCCCTTCCACACAGCTGTATAAAATCCACATTAAACTGGATTCTATGCAGTGTGGAGTCAGATAATCCAGTTCAAAGCAGATCTTGTGGATTATCTGCCTTGATATTCTGGGTTATATGGCTGTGTGGAAGGGCTCGCTTCATTTCTGACCTCTGACAGCCCTCTGATAAACCCATCACAGGGTTTGCTTGACAGAATTTGTTCCACTACAGATATGATGAAATGCGCTTTATTTATTTATTGTGAAGCTCACTAATGCCAGAAGCATAGTTCGAATCCAGCAGAGCCTAACTGGTCAGGTACTTTCTTTCAGAGAGCAGAAAGGCTACTGATTTAACTACAGTTCCCAGAACTTTGCGATGTTGGCAGCCAAGTTCTGAGAGTTGTAGTCGAAAAATTGGAACTTCCCAAAGCTTTTATTTCAATTTAATTACATTTCAGTTTGCATTTCAATGTACATTAATTACATTTCAATTGCATTTCAATACACATTAATTACATTTCTAAGAATTCGGCTGTGGCTGGGATGTTTTAATGTAGCTGTATTGGCCATTTTATCAGTAGTTATTGCCATGCTTTATTGAGTATTTTACTTAAATCGAGCTGGGCCTTTTATCTTTGTAAGTATTGTTTTATGTTAATTGATATTGATATTGTGATCAATTTTGATGTAATTTACTTGTAGTTTGTGTGTTTATGGTACTATTATGTGCTGTTCTGTAAGCTGCTCCAAGGCCCTTCTGGGAAATGGTGGTGGGATACAAAGAAAGTTGCTGTTGTTATATTATTATTATTATTATTATTATTATTATTATTATTATTATTCTGACACAAAACACAATATAATATAATATAAATGGATTCCTGAATAAGTACATACAACAAAAATACCACTTATATAAGGTAAACAATAACAGAATTCAACAAACAGTTATATAAACACGTTGTACTGTTCAGTTTCACAGTGATGTCAAACAATATTGTGTAAATTTTGGTATAGTCTCTTTAAAATAATATCAATGTCGTATCTTCTTATGTTGAGTAGCTTATAGATCAGCCGTCCACGACCGGTCGTGGACGGCTGATCTATAAGCTACTCAACATAAGAAGCTACGACATTGATATTATTTTAAAGAGACTATACCAAAATGTACAAAAACACAGTATGTCACAGCAAACGAGATATATATGTTGGATTTTGTATCACAAAATCACAAGTCGAACACTTCCCAAGCATCTAGGACTGTGTGATGTATTTTTGAATGATGTGCGCAGATCCAAGGAAGGTGGCCTTTTGCAGTTGACAGATATTATTATTATTATTATTATTATTATTATTAGAAACACAACAATATTAGTATACAGCAAACAAGATCACTATGCTGGTTGTTGTATTGGATCACACGTCGGACACTTCCAAAGTGTCCAGAACTATGTGATGTATTGGTGAATAATGTGTGCAGATCCCAGTAGGGTGGCCTTTTGCAGCTGACAGATGGTAATTTTGGCAGTGCAAATTGTGATTATTTTACTATTGGGTTGTTGTAGGTTTTTTCGGGCTATATGGTCATGCTCTAGAACATGGCCATATAGCCCAAAAAACCTACAGCAACCCAGTGATTCCAGCCATGAAAGCCTTCAAAAATACATTATTATTATTATTATTATTATTATTATTATTATTATTATTATCATTATTATGTCAATACAAACCTCTGGCTAAAACCAGAGAATGCTGGTTCCTAAAATGTTTTGTGCGGAATTTCTTTTTACTAGGTACAGCTATGGTGCAGGTGTTATGCAGTTTGAGACTCCTTTAACTGCCATGATTCAATGCTATGAAATGCTGGAATTTGTAGTTGAGGCATTAGCATTCTTTCATAGAGAAGGCTAAAGATCTTTTAAAACTACAGATCCCAGCATTGCATAGCATTGAGCCACAGCAGTTAAAGTGGTATGAAATTGCATTTACACTGCAATTCTACACTGTAGAATTAATGCAATTTGACACCACTTTAACTGATATGTCTCAGTCCTATTTATAACCAGGAAAAACTCACAATGTTTGTCTGGGTCTGACTGTGAGAAGTCTGAGAATCACAACAGGCATCATTGCCAAGGCTTGTATTCAATACAGTTTGGCAAAAAACAAGAGCAATTTTCAAATAGAAGTCCTTCCATTTCTGGAAGTCCCTCTTCTGTTTACAGAAGGTGAGCTTTCTGCAAATAGAAGACTGGAATGTTTTCAGCACTTTATCTGCCTCCATGCAAACTCTAAAAGGGAGCTTCACAATGCCAGCTCTCCACCCCTTCTGTTTGCAAGAGCCACAAGTGGCCTGTTTTATGAGCAGTTTTTTGTTTATGGTTCTCTTGCTATTAGGGCTGGGCGGTTTCGTTTCGTTAATTCGTAATTCGTTAATAATTCGTTAATTTTTTCAATTACAAAACGATAACGAACCATTCTGGAGAAATTATTAAAAAAAACGAATTTTCAAAAACGTTTTGTAAATGCTTCGTATTTCGATATTGTATTCGTTTCGTTATTGTTTTGAGGTCGTTTCGTTATTATTTCCGCATGTCTGGGCCAGTTTTATGGTTTAATTAGTGAAAAAAAATTATAATATCACACCAACAGTCAACAACAGAGGGAGAGGGAAGCTTCAGAAGGTTTTGGAGGTTTTTTAGCGTATTTCGCGGTCGCGTCCGCCATTAACGAATCGATTCGTTATTGTTTCGGAAATCGATTCGTTAATTTTTTACCATTTACGAAATTTTGTAAATATCGAACTTTTTAAAAGGAAAATTTTGTAATTATTTTAAATATTGAAACAAAAAAAACCCCCAAATACAAATCGATTTTAGAAACAAATTTTTCCGTTGTTACCCAGGCCTACTTGCCATAATCCAAAATGTATGCATGGAGAAATAACTAAACCCTTCGGTCCTCAGAATGCATAAAACGTTAACAGTTTATGGAACATGCAGCATTTAAATGGCAACTGGAAGAGGAGAAATCATAGGAGTGATGATTCCGCACTTGAATGAATAAAGCAAGCAAGAGCAATCTTCCAAAGAAACTGACCTTGAAAACAGAGTCTAAATGTCTGGAATAATTATATGTGGGAGAGGAGTGAATGAACAGGTCTGCCATCCTATATATGCTATTGAGCTCTTGTATACATGCATAGGATTGTGCTATAGGTCACTTTTTGTCTGTCAAATAAATTATTTAAAATATTGTTACCTTTTTGTGCATTCAATTGTTTCAGTTCTGATTCCTCAGTCTTTGAACTGGCTTTGTGAGCCAGAGCAGGAGTTTTCTGGTAAACTTTCCAGAGCAGCATATATTCTAAACACATGGAGATCAAGTTCCAGCCAGAAATGAATCCACATCCAATCACCGGGGAGCCAAAGGTCATGATCTGCCCAACAGCCATTGGGGCCAAGATGTTGGTCAACTGGTCAATTCTTCGTATTGTAGCATTCATATCTATATGGCAACATGTGAGAATATAACATTTATACTTGAGCATACAAGTATATACCGAAGAGTCACGTTTATCCAACATAAATGGGCCAGCAGAACACTGGATAAGTGAACATGTTGGATAATATGGAGGGATTAAGGAAAAGCCTATTAAACATCAAATTATATTATGATTTTACAAATTAAGCACCAAAACATCATGTTTTACAACAAATTGACAGAAAAAGCAATTTAGTATGTGGTAATGTCATGTAGTAATTACTCTATTGACAAATTTAGCACCAAAACATTGCAATGTATTGAAACAGCTGTGATTCCAGGTGGGAGGCAGACTGCATTGGATAATACAGAACTTTGAAAGAGTGAAGGTTGGTTAAGCGAGACTCTACTATACAAGTATTGGACTTTTAATTGTGATGTTCCACTTATGGAAGAGCAACCATTGGGGATGAGTACCTGTTTTCTTTTGCCAAGCTTTTTACTTTGATCTTTATATCCAGTTTTAAGATTTGTGTCACTCTGCTATTACTTCTGCTCTTACGCTTCCAGTGCAGTTTAGGTCACCCTTAGTTAGATTATTTATAGTATATTTTCCAATGCTTTAGCTAAATTCTTGTTTTTATTGATTCATAACATTTACAGACTATACAGAGATTTTTGTGGTGGATAATAAAAAAGAGCATCTATCTACATATATTAAGTTAACTTAGTAAAATTTACTCCAAAGGGTCACAGCATAAAACCCAAGCATATCCTTTATCTTGGTGGATGCCTCATAATATGATAATCCAGAAAAAAACCACATTTACGCAAACATAGAGCCGGTCCTCTTAAAAGACCTTGAAATATAACTTGATTAAATCCACAATTAATATGAGTATTAAGAGTTCTTTGTTAATTTCCTTGGGCCCTTCCAGACAGGCCCTATCTCCCAGGGTCTGATCCCAGGTTTTCTGCTTTAAACTGAATTATATGAGTCCACACTGCCAGATAATCTGGGATAAACCAAAAAACCTGGGATCAGATCCTGGGATATAGGGCCTGTCTGGAAGAGTCCCTTAATTACAAATATACTTGTGGCCAAAATGCTCAAGAAGCTACTCTATCCCATCATCTCCATTATATTAATGTAAGGATTATATGATCCTCCAGATTTTGTAATATTGTAGCCCCCATCGGCCCTAGTTTGCACTGACAATTATAAGGGATGATGAGAGCTGCAATCCAATAATATCCCAAGGCCCACAAGCGGCCCATCCCTATACTAATGAATGGCTATATAGTTCATTCCTCTTATTAAAAGGTACACTGACATAAACTCATTTTACCTGGTAGAAATATTATGATCCTGAAGCACTGCCCTTACACTATAAATAACAAAGAAGGTGACAAAGAATTGATTAAAAGTTGTTTATTCGTTCAGTCACTTCTGACTCTTTGTGACCTCACGGACCAGCCCACGCCAGAACTCCCTGTTGGCCGTGACCACCCGCAGCTCCTTCAGAGTCAAAGTACAAAGTACTAAAAAGTTTGTCTGACTAACCTTGACAGCGAAATAAATAAATAACAAAGAACTAAATAATATAATCACGACTATAGGGCTACCTGCATATACTGGGAACTTACAACATCTTTAGAGACTAAACCGAGAGAATGAAGTTAGTGGCAGAAGCGTTTGTAAAGGAAGTTGGAAGAGAAGGTTAAAGGCCTTGAAAACCAGTATCTGCCACATTTTCATAGCATGGAGCCATGGGAGTAAGTAATTCTACAATGTAGATACACCGTCAATCAACTTCCCTACAAAAACTATCAACTTTTAATCTCTAAGGTGTTACAAAATCTTTTTCCATACCAATATTCCAGACTAACATGGCCATGTCTTTGGCCCTACCTCCACTGCCATATAATCCAGTTTTTAAATCCAGATTATCTGCTTTGACCTGGATTATATGGCAGCGTAGACTCATATAATTCAGTTCAAAACAGGTAATCTAGTTTCAGAAACTGGATCATATGGTAGTGGAGATACAGCCTTTGAATCTTTTCTCTACGACTACTTGGTGATCCAGTTTCCATATTTTACTCTCAATAGAAACAGACCAAAGAAGTAGAAACATTTGTCTGAAGTGCCCTTTATAACCAGATTACTGATTTATGATGCCTGCTATCTAAGAAAAAACCCTGCTGATTTCTGTTCACTAAAGTTCAAGCACACAGCGGGTCCTTCCAGACAGGCCCTATATCCCAGGATCTGATTTCAGGTTTTATTTTATCCCAGATTATCTGGCAGTGTGGACTCATATAATCTAGTTTAAAGAAGAAAACCTGGGATCAGATTCTGGGATATAGGGCCTGTCTAGAAGGGTCCAGAGTGAAACATCTTAAGGTAGCCAAAAGTCAATGTACTTCACCTGCCAATTTGCTTCTGTTTTCACCAGCAACAACGACAACCCAGTCTCTCTGTATAGTAATTCCAGTGGCTGTGCTGGCTAGATTTGCAGTATTTGCAATTGTGATGACCAGAATATAGCACACAGTCTGTGGAGACAGAATGAAATTTCTCCAAATAAAGAAAGAGAAAACAACAACAACCAGAAACATTATGTCACAGTAGATCTTAGTACTTAACAAAGGAGTTGCCACAATGAGAAAACTGATGTTTTAAAAATATATATAACAATCCCACTCCCAATGCTTTAAAAGGTTTTGAAGATTTGTGTACTTACAAGAAGCCACCCTTGATACATCGTCAGAAGGTCAGCTTTATAAATGAAGACAACCATCAATAGGATTCCACACAAAATGACAGACACGTTTTGCACAATTAAGGACGTCTGGGCCACTGTTTTAGATAAAAGATAAAGGGAGACGGATTACACTTGAGGCTGTGTCAACACTGATAACAGGAAATATGCAGACATCTCATGCACAACATCCCTTGTCCAGACCGCATCTGACCAAGAATGAAACCCAAAGTGAATTCCAGTTTCCACTTTTGGTTTTGGGTAGGGATTTGAAAAATCTTTTTGTATGTTTCAAGGAATTGGGGTTGTGGGAAAGAGTTTGTTGTCCTTTGGTTTTTCAGTTCCCAAAAAGACGCCATCCAGATTTTAAAAGAATTGTTTTGGGGGGGAAATATTTTAAAATACTTTAAAAATCTGAGGTATTGAGAAACTTGAGAAAGCCTCACAATTTATCCACCCCTGCACTAGTTGCTATAATTGAAAAGTACACTTCTATGCATGTCTACTGAGCAATAAGTCCAATGAAGGTTTAGCCCAGTGGTTTTCAACCTGTGGGTCCCCAGATGTTTTGGCCTACAACTCCCCAAAATCCTGGTCATTTTACCAGCTGTTAGGATTTCTGGGAGTTGAAGGCCACAACATCTGGGGCCCACAGGTTGTTGGTGAGTGGATACAGGACTCCAGCCTAAGTTACTTGACCAATTAATCATTACAGTATTCCCCCATTTTCTCCAATAAGAAGAAAAAGTTGCCAAAGAAATGGATTGTACTTTACTTTGGCATTCCTAGAGAACCCCAGCTGTCATTCAAGGAAACCAGTTCATATGTGATTTTTTTCAAAAACTTGGGAGCAAGGACAAAGGGGGAAAGAAGGAATAATGTGGTATCTATAACAGTGATGCCCTTAGTGTGTGTTCCTCATTTATAAATGATGTGGTCAATCAGATTGCCCATTTCCAATTTTTCATTCTCCAGGTCTTCAGTACCCAGATGCCCCAGCTAGCTTGACCAAAACATCTGAATGACCAAAGTTGGGAAGTCACTGCTATATACAAAACCTGATTGACCACAGCATTTTAATGAAGAATGTACAATAAGAACTGAGATAAAATCCTTAGTCAAAAGGGATACTGGCTGGTGTACCCTGTCAGCTAAAAAAAAACTTCTTTGTAAAAGACTAGCCTTCAAAGAGAAACAAGAAATCTGTGTTCTTCCAATTTGCTGCCTCTTCATATTTAAGATGCGGTGTTTCGAAAATGCTAACGCTACAATCAAAGAGGAAACACCCAGCTTGAGTTGATGAAGTTCACTGCTTGTGGAACTAATTATTTAAAATTACCTTTAAGTATGTCATATAATTACATTACACGTAAAGTACTAAGTCCAACAGACAAAATACAGATATTTAAGCGTACCTGCTGTCACTACTAAAGTTACTGAGATGTGAAGTGGTGTCCTCGTTCCACATATTTTACAAGTACTATTTTAAAGCTGTAATTCTAGCTAGCTACACCTAGCCTTGGAGTCAATCCAACTGAACTCAGTCACAGTGTAAACGCACAACTAGATCAGACAATTAGGGGCAATTACTTTTGTGAGAATTTTGAAAGAGACACTCCCATATCTACTCCAAAATGAGTGCCAATGACTTTCTGGGTACTTACTCCAAGGGAATCATGAACAGGATTTCAGCTAAAATGTGTGCCCCCTACTTGTTGCTCAAATTCAACTCCTAACAACCTTAGCAAGCACTGCCAAAAAGTTTGGGAGAATGGAGCTTGTAGTAACTGTGTGTGTATCTATCGATTTATCTCAGGCCTGGAACAATACATGTTTTCTGTATAGTTGTGGTGGCAGGAAACCTTGATGAGACCTTGACTTGGGTATTTCAGGAACATTCCCAGATCATATCTGGAGTGGTTTCCTTGGATTTATCCAGTAGCTGAAGTCTTAGGGCCCAAAACATGGGACTTCTCTGGGTTTTACTGGAAGCATTCAAACGATGCCTCTGGTAAAAACGAATTACTGCAGAGTAGACCAAGATTTCCCTGTTTATTCTGTATAAATTAGATCCGGGGCTTTATTAAAGATCCAGGTTTAATGAGGTGCTGGGCTTGTGGGGACTGATTCTGAGTCCCCACAGCCATCTTGCTTCTTCAGGCTTTGAAAAGCCCAGAGGAGCAGGACCCGCTCCTTCCAAGCCCCATATTTAGCCCCTAAAAGTTACTGCAAAAGGTCCCTGACAATCACGAAGCCTCTCCTGGCATCATACTGAGGGGAGGAAATGATATGGGAGGAGGAGGCAGAGGTGGGGTGCAGAAGGATTTTCTTCCTCACCCCTCCCATCTCCTCAGGTGTCATTTCATCCCCCTGAGTCCCCTTTGGGGGAGATAAAGAGGGGTATAAATATAATAATAATAATAATAATAATAATAATAATAATAATAATAATCAGTACGACAGGTTTCATGGCTGCCAAGGACCTTTTCAAGTAAGTTTTAGGGGGTAAATTTTAGGGTTCGGGGTGGCTTCATGCAATCCCAATTTCAATTGGGATAGCATGTAGCCAACTCAGGAGGGAAATCCCAGGGTTGTGGGAGGGGATGGGGACTAGAACGCACACTAAAGCAGGTTACTTTAACTCATTTTGGCACAGGTTTTAGTTATGTCTGGAAGGGCCCTTAGATCACCCTTAACCAATGCAGATGTCCTCTAGTAAAAATCCATACAATATTACTGACCTTTGAGCCGGGGGTTCTTGTCTACCCAGTCTCCGATTATGGCTCCCAGAAGAAGAACTGATCCTGCCACGACTAAGCCATAAACAGCAGTCAAGAGCAAACTGTTTCCATATAGTTCAACGAGGAAGAGAGACACTGCAAAATGCCACATACGATCTCCCTGGAAAGAAACAGTTCATTTCAAGATACACAGGCTATATACAGAATCATAGAATCATAGAGTTGGAAGAGACCTCATGGGCCATCCAGTCCAACCCCCTGCCAAGAAATGTTGCATCAACAATGTTGTCTCTATGCCAAGGAGTAGGGTTTGGACAAGATGCCATTATGCTGAGCTTACTTCCTCCGAATGGGTCTCCATCTTTTTAATTACTGTCTCCACTATTTTTGTGTTTCATTTTTGTTCTTCGGGCCCAATCCACACCACTCCCCCAGCAGAGAGAGCTGAGTGAGGAAGAAGTTGCTCTTTTCCTCCCTTGATACTGTTCACATGCTTTGACTGGAAAGAGGAACTAGTAGCAACAAGAAAGATGATGACAAACACATGCTATTCCAGAAATCTGCAATGGGCCACCCTTTGGAGATACTCTGGCACCCAGTAATAGGAGCCCCTTGGCATGTAGCCTGCTGCTCACTCTGAACACATCTGGTCATACTATTATTTATTTATTTCCTGTAGTTGTATATTTCCTGTAGTTGAGAGCTGAGTTCCTTCTCAGCTCTCAGGCGACTCAGGGCGGTTTACAATGGCAACGATTCGGTGCCCCAAAGCACCATAAAACATTTTAAAACATATTATCCCAAAGACAAATTTTCATATATAATGCCCATTCATCTACCATGGAACACTGAGGAAGGTCAAGAGATGGAGTTTGTACCACAAATAATTTTCAATCTAATGATCATCATAAGCAAACCCACACTAACAAGATGCCTAACACTGACCTGCACTCCAAAGGCTGCACTCTCTGATTAGCAGCATGCCCTTTCAACCACAGCATTGCTTATGAAAATAACTTTTCCAAAATCTGTCTCTAGCCCAGTGGTTCTCTACCTGTGGGTCCCCAGATGTTTTGACCTTCAACTTCCAGAAATCCTAACAGCTGGCAAACTGGCTGGGATTTCTGGGAGTTGTTGGCCAAAATACCTGGGGACAGGTTGAGAACCACTAGGCTAGAGACAGATTTTGAAAAAGTTATTTCTGGGATTTTGGGACCTTTAGCCCCAAAAGGAAAAATTTTCCCAGCTATGATCAGAGTAAGCATGTGTAAGGATAAGTTTTATAGCTTGAATGTTATTGGAAAGTGATTTGCAAGGAATACAATGGTGCCTGCTTTGCAGGCGTAGGTTTGCACTACATGTGTGGCAACTTATAAAATATGCAATGTCATCACATATTTTTAAGGAAAAGTCATTGCCAATTACTTACACACTCATTGTAATTCCCAGGCTAAATGGCATGGAGAAAGAATTAACTTCCTGCTGAACTTCCACAATAGAATAGTAATGATTATAAACTTCTCCTGTCAACTATCTGGTTGATGAAATGACTGTTTTTGCAAAAAGCCTTTAAGCATGAAGGCTCTTATAGGGATTCACGGACAAAATATGATGTAGTATCATCATTATCACCAGTAGAATGACAAAATTGACTTTTTTAAAACTAAAACTCCCTGGATTTCCCAGAAATTTTGAGAGCAGTGGTCCAAAAAGCTTATCCATGCTCTGGTATGGAGTCATGCATTTATCATGTTGGCTGAATGTCTCTGCTGGAAATCTTCAATTTCAGACTTACTTTTTTCATAAGCATCTTGTGGTAATCAACATGGTTAGGCTTGCTGATCCTGTTTTATATTATTTTTACAGGCTAGAGATTTTTTAGTGGCAATGTTCTGCATATATGCTCACTTTAAAAAAAAAGGTAAAGGTAGTCCCCTGACATTAAGTCCAGTCATGTCTGACTCTGGGGTGTGGTGCTCATCTCCATTTCTAAGCCGAAGAGCCAGCGTTGTCCGTAGACACCTCCAAGGTCATGTGGCCGGCATGACTGCATGGAGCGCTGTTACCTTCCCGCCGGAGCGGTACCTATTAATCTACTCACATTTGCATGTTTTCGAACTACTAGGTTGGCAGAAGCTAGGGCTGACAGCGGAAGCTCACGCCGCTCCCCGGAATCGAACCTGCGACCTTTCGATCAACAAGCTCAGCAGCTCAGTGCTTTAACCCACTGCGCCACCGTAACATGTAAGACTTCATGTTATGGGCAAATTGCTGCAATATTCTTCTCAGTTGGGTCATCTCACATTCCACAGTATACAAGTCCTCTCTCAACCTGCCCTCCTCCTCACACAAACATACTGTATTGAAGTCCTTCACGGAAAAACCATCCTATCTCTAAGGTAATGCATTCCAATATAATCCACAATGAAATCCTCCCCATAGGATGGCTCTTACATTTCTCATGCCGGTTCCTTTGGCTGGAGTCCCATCCTGGAACCTCCTCTATCTACACAGCACTTAAAGCTCACCGTGGAAGGTGTGGTCCGAGAAACTGTGCCTGACATGAACTCTATTTCAATTTCCGTATACTTATAAACTAATCCATCCCATAGGCGTTGGGAGAGTCCCTGGCTGAACTCGTGGAAATTTTTGATATGACCCCAGAAACTCTGATAGCATGCTGAGTCTGATTAGAAAAAGTGCTGACGGATCAAATATGGCTGTAATTATTTCATTGTCACTCAAAATAAGTATACAGAAATGCAAACCGTGGTTATCAGAACAGAACTGTGACCCCCACCACTGAAAATACACACTGTTTTCTCATCTGCCAGTTAGCAAGAGACCAGCTATCACATGCTAAGTGCCTGAAAACAGATATAGATAGAAGAAAATTGGCAGCCTAGTATCAATTCAGCATTTAAAAACTATAAAATCTTTTAATAGAGCATGTGAATGCATTGAAGGACAGCATCACAAAAAGCATTTTAGTGTTCACTTAAAGCTGTCCCTTTCAAAGTGTACACTGGACAAGATGTGGATGCAACAGACAATACATCACACATAAACACTTAATGTAGAACAACACTATCCTTAACTGAAAGACACTTTGCTGATAATGTGAATTCTGGATTCACATTTGCATGATGAAATGGCCTAAATAAATAGATTTCCCTTTTAATTTGTTTAGGCCCATTCTAGAATCTTGGCCCTAACAGTATGCACGAAGAATAGGCCGATGGATTATTTTGAATGTATATGTGTTATTTTGATAATTTTATGCTTATGTTGTTTACTCTCTAGGTTTTTGGTGTTTGTACTTGGAAACCTCCCTGAGTCCCCTTGGGGAGATAGAGCGGTATATTAATAAAGATTATTATTATTATTATTATTATTATTATTATTATTATTTCCTCAAAGTCCAGGAAAGTAGTAGCACTTTTGTGTTCACATATTAATGTGCCTCTAAAAATCAATGTCAGTCAAGGACATTTTCAGGAATCCCATGAAGACACCAGCAGAAACATTAAATTTCAGATTAAACACAGAGTGGGTTGACAACTCACAATCTAACATTAAACACGGTATTTCCATGCTTGACACCTTGACTCCTAATTGATCACCAAAGGGAAAGTATGTTACAACATGTAAACACTCCTTCATCCACAACATGTGCATCACTCATCCTACGAAGTTGAATGTGTATTGTTCCCTCCTTCCCTCCCAGCCTCATCCTTTAAACATACAAACTGGTACTGTATGGAGAAATTATCAGGCATATGTTTCTTAGATTGTTTGTTTTCCAATTAGAAAGCCCAAAGTAAGATTGTTGTGGGAGTCAAAAATAGCTATTAGTAAACTAAATCTGGGGGTTATTAATATAGTTTACCTGCATCCAAACAGTATAACCATTTCACAGACACACCACCATGCTAAGCAAGTTCTACTTTACAAGCAAGCCCCAACAAAATCAATGGAATGGAATGCCTTTTTCATTGATACTGCAACATAGTCTTTAACAGATAGTCCATCAAGGAACATTGACCTTGATCATCATCACTAATCCTCACAACCTGGGGCCAACTGCACACCTTCTGCTCCATATATGAATCTCAACTGGTCAGATAGTTTTTAGCTGGCACTGATCTCACCCACAACACAATGCTGGTGTTGGGAAGTAATTTGAGTATGAGAGTCGGACTAGGATCAAAGGAGACCAGAGTTCAAATCCCCCTTTGGCCATGGAAACCCACTGAGTGACCTTGGGCATGTCATCCTTTCTCAGCTTTAGAAGAAGGCAAGGGTAAACCCTTCTAAACAAATGTTGCCAAGAAAATCCCATGATTGGGTCACCTCAGAATCACCATATGACACTGAAAGGTCATATGCAGTGCATATCAGTGTGCCGTAGTTTTGAGTAGTGACACTAGTAAAACCCTGCTCAGCTATGAAAACTGACTGGGTGACCTTGGGAAAGTCACACACTGTCAGCATCTAAGGGAGACAGAGGCAAAAACCCTCTGGACAAATCTATTCAAGAAGACCCCATGATAGGTTCACCTTACAGTCACCATAAGTCAGAAACAACTTGAAGGCCTCACACAACAAATGCTTCACTTCACTCAGAACTCTATTTTTATTGTCTCCACTGTTGTGAAACAAAATCCACTTTTTATTCTTCCAGCCCTTCAGTTTTATGCTCAATTCAGAGTCCAGAGGTATATTTTAATTACGATGTGAAAGAAACCTTTAAAGGGCTACTTTCTTTTAATGAGCAAAACAGCACAATCTTACAACCTATATATGAGACGCAAGCTTCAAGGGCAGAGGTAGATCTACACCTAGAGGACTGGTCACCTGCATAGACAATCAAGCTAGATTTGAATGAGAGGTTGCCAGTCCAATTGGGTGAAGAACTAAACCAAATCTTTCTCTTTCCTTCCATCTCACACTCTTTTCTTTTTCTCAGCCTCGCTTCCCACATAAGGCATTGAGGAGAGAACAAATTAATTGAACTTGACCACTTGCAGATGTGTACTGGGATTAGGCTATAGTAGGGCATAGGAAATAAGGCTAGATTCATCAGCTGCTCATCCCTGAGTTACAGATCCCTTCTACACTGCCAGAAAATCCAGGTTATCAAAGCATAAAATCCACATTATCTGATTTGAACTGAATTATTTAGTCTACACTGCCATATAATCCACTTCAAAGCACATAATGTGGATTTTATATGACAGTGTAGAAGGGGCCTAAGTCAAACCAATCAGCCATTCTTGGTTACACCCTGACAGTCCGGATTAGCAGGTCCTCTGTTCACAATATGACATACTGGAGAAGAGCCGAGTAGGAACATTAACCAACTGATTCTCAAACAGGAGGAGAACAGATCTCTATCAATCACAGCAACTGCTACCTGGTAAATGAAAAACTGAGGAACTTTCACAGTCTCTACATACTAAATGAAGGAATACATAGGGTTCATGAACTAGTCCCAAATGTGTAACTCTAGATCAGAGCTTTCCAAAGTGTGTGTTACGACGTGTTGGCCGCAATGTGTAGGTGCGCCACGTAGATTTAGTGAAAAAACCCCAAATCTATCTGAAATAACCAATAAATCATATTTTCAAAAATATAAATGAAAGATTTTCATGTTGTGTCCCCATGCATTTCGTTAATACAATTTATGTATGAGTCCATGTTTCTTATAAAGGGTTAGTATAATGCATGTCAAAAAGTGTGTCACTATCATGAAATGTTTGGAAAGTTCTGATCTCAATTAGGCATCTGTAACTACCTCAGTGCCCTTCTACACAGCCATACAACCCAGAGTATCAAGACAGATAATCCACAGTATCTGCTTTGAACGGAGTTATCTGAATCCACACTGCCATATAATCCAGTTCAATGTGGATTTTATAGAGCTGTGTAGAAGGGGCCTTAGTGAATGTTGACCCTTATTTTTCATGACATGTTATTCTTGATGATTATTATTCCATGTAAATACACTATGCTCTTTGTGAGAACACTTTCTCAGCCTCAGAAGAAGTGAATGGCAAACCATCTCTGAATCAATCTTGCCAACAGCATCCTAGGACAGAGTTGCTGTGAGTGAGAGATGACTTGAAGGCACAAATGTATAACAATCTTTTCTTTATACAAAATAAAAAGAGAAATTAACTTTTATTTGACCCAGGAAGGTGGTTTCCAAAAGAAGTTTTTTAAACTGTTGCTTGCAAAAGTCATGTGACCTGTCTGCCTATTGCTTGTGAAGGAACATGCTTCCTCATACCATGGACTGAAAACAAGCTTCTTGAGCAATTAAGCTTCCAGAAGGCAGTTTCTACATCATTCACAGTGTAGAACCTTGAACTTCTTGTCCACAGAACATCAAAGAGATAATGAAAGCAAACTAATCTATCATAAAGTGACTAAGCTTTACTTCTTCTTTCTTTTCTTTTCTTTCTTTTCTTTTCTTTTCTTTTCTTTTTTTTTTTGGAAGGCAGGCAAACTTTGTAGTGAATGCCGAGAATAGAATATAAACTTTATTCATTGGTTTATTGCATTTGTATGCTCCATTTCTTCCAGAGTGGGACTCAAAGTGGCTCCCCAAAAACAATCAATTTTAATATATTCCCAATAAAATTTTAAATAATTAAAAGCACATAATAAAATAATATAAAAGGTTTAAAATATATAATGCTTTACTTGGGGCTCAAAATATAACTCAACATGCTAAGCAAGCCCTAAAGAATTTATCTAAACTTCAGGCATTTTAATCCTGATTCTACTAATATGTAGAGTTGCCAATATGATCAAAGACTCCAAGAACGTTCTGTAAGTAACTTTAGGGATTATGCCTTATTATGGCATTGAATGGAAGTAAGACTGCCAAAGCTATATACTTTCACATTTACAGAAGGTAAATAAAACAGCATTATAAATTCCAGGCACAGTGTGGTACCACTGCAACCTGCATGTTTTGCTAAAGGGATATTTAAATTTACATTTTATTAGTATTGGAGTTTTAATCTTTGTTCTATGATTTTTATTACATGTATTTTATGGCCCTTTGTTTTATCTATGTCAGTGGTTCCCAACCTGTGGTCCATGGACCATCAGTGGTCTGCAAGAAATAAAATATGATCCATGGCCTCACTGTTACTACACCACTGAAACGAGAGTGACTGGTCTCATGAAACCTTCTTATTGTGCCAAGGCTTATTAAATATGATTTTCTGTGGTTGATCAGATAATGACTACTGGGTGGCATATGTTCTGTATCAGAAAATAGAGCTGATATGGTCTATCCAATGCAATTTTCTGAATCATCACCCTAAATAACCAAACCAAATCTAAAGTTGACCAAAAACTGATTCGTAGCTTTTTATGGTACTAGTGTTGGAGAGTGGTCCTTGGTCAAAGTAGTCCGTGGTCAATCAAACGTTGGGAACTACTAATTTATGTATTTTAGCTATGCTATAACCTGCCTCAAGCCATTAGAAAAGGGGGTAACAAATACAATTGTTATTATCATCATCATCACCACCAGGCTGGAATATAATTTAGTAAAGTATATTGTGTCACAGTTTACAAGCATCATAATTTGTGACTAGAGTGGGAGCTAATAGTATGGTGAAACTGCTCCAGGTTTTAATCCAAAATGTAAAGTATGCTGGCCCATTTATCCAAAAACCTCAGCACCTTCGATAGCTCCTTTAATGTTTGGACTAAAATCTACAGTGCATTAGTCATTGCTTCATCTCATGAACATCCAGCTACAACTGGGTGACAAGATATCTTAACTCATGGCTCTTTTCTTAAATGTCTTGATGAATCATGCAACAGCAATATGATTATATGCAACACATTATAATAAAAGCCTTCAGGTGTAGATATAAAGTACTTACCCAAGTGGACAGGGCATGTCCAAGGTACAGGAGGAATTTTGCTGATGTGAAGTAACTCACACAGGATCCTAAGAAAGAAGTATGAGAGAAATGATGTAGATAACTCAAGCATATTGAACACTTTTCTTTATGCATCAGTACACTGGCTAAGCTTGTATGATTGGCATCACTTTATATGACACTTCTAATAAACATGAAAGCTAATACAAGCAGTCCCTGAGATACAAACATCCAACTTACAAAAGACTCATAGTTACAAACGGGGGTGAACTCATAGTTACAAACAGGGGTGAAACAACAGGAAATGAGAGAAGTCTACTCCTAAGAAGGGAAATACACTCCTCAATGAGTTATCACGGGGAAAAGGTATCTCCACTGAACCTTTATCACCAATCCTGGTTTACACAACAAGTCATTTTTTCAAAATCCAATTCTCACAAGGAAAGAAATTAGGTGAAATCTTCTGAACAGGGACACAGGGGTGTTCACTCTTCCCTATGCTGTCCAAAGCTAATATATGATATACACATCTGGCTGGAGTTACACTTAAAAATGTACCTGTTCTAACTTACAAACATATTCAACTTGAGAACAAACCTACAGAACTTATCTTGTTCGTAACTTGGGGACTGCCTGTATGCATTTATTTGGTACTGACACAGCATCACAACTGTGTCTACAGACACAGGCTTTTCAAACAACATTTTATTTAGAAAACAAAATCCCTGCCTGTTTCAACAATGTCTTTGACTAAAAGCTGCAGCCTTCCCCAACTTGGTGCCATTTCCCAACTACAAGCCCTATAATCCACATCCAGCACAACTATACAATAGGTGGAGATGTAGCCCAGCAAATGTGAAAATTGACAGATTAAGAAGTTTGAAAGAGTTTTTCAAATAATTTACTTTCTGTTGAGCATTGCATGCCACAAACTCTGCTACCCACAGCTTCAATCTCATTTCCAACTTCAAAGACATCTCTGGGCCCTTCCACACAGCCATATAACCCAGAATATCAAAGCAGAAAATACCACAATATCTGCTTTGAACTGGGTTATCTGAGTCCACACTGCCATATATTCCAGTTCAAAGCAGAAAATGTGGGATTTTATACATCTGTGTGGAAGGGGCCTCTGTCTCAGATATCCTGCATATGTTACATGGAGATACAGCCGTCCAGACCATATACAGCTGAGTTGGAACTGATAACAGGAAACAGCCGAGCTTTATCCTACATATTGTTTCATGGACAAAGCTAAACAAAATTCTAATAGTAGTTTTTTAAGGACACAAACACTTGGCTATTAATTCACCCAATTTCTCTCACATAGATGTGTCGGTCCTTTTCAAAAAATGCTGCTAAATGAAAAATACTTGAAGTTTCACCACATAGTTTTGAACTTGCAGCGCTCTTCTAAGAGTGTCAAAATGATGGAGTGATTGCTGTGTCACTCTGCAGACTTTTCACGTAACCTCTGTCCTGCCCAGCATATCCTTTGTGTGTTCAGAAGTGTTCAGTGCACATGTCTTTTCCTACAATAGGAATGTAGTCCACATATACAGCACACAGTTACCTACCTCACTATTAAATAACACATACGTTCCTCAAAAACCTACACTTTTAAGGCAGGAAGATTCTCTAGAGTTCCACTGCACTTTGAATGCTTTCTCACCTCTTGGATGGAAAGAAGTTGGCCAAGGTTTAAAAATTCCCTCTTTACTAGACTGATCACCTCTTATTCCAAAAGCTCCCAAATCCAACAGTCCACAAAGAGACAGTGACACCTTTGCTTTCTGGTAGTTCGATATACACAAACTTTGCTTCCTGCACAAAATTGTTGGAAGCAGCAGTGTCCAACCTTTGGTCCTCCAGGTATTTTGGACTTCAGCTCCCTGAATTCCTTGCTATTGGATTAGCTGGCTAGAACTTCTGGGAGTTGGAGTCCCAAATACCTAGAGAACCACTGATGTAAAACACTGGGTATAAAATTACCTTCAGGCTAGGGGAATAAAGGATCTACTACACATCAATAGATTTTGTGCTTAGATATGGGACTCACCTCCAAAATATCTTGTTATGCTACGGAATCATGGTAGCTATGTTGGGCTTTCCAGTCCATTTCTATCTACAACCATCCTAGCAAGGGGTTATTCTTAGCATTAGTTGTTCACAAGTTTTGCTCTCATCTTCCTCTGAGGCTGAGAGAGTGAGGTCCCTTCCACACAGCTGAATAAAATCTCACATTATCTGCTTTGAACTGGAATATATGGCAGTGCAGATTCAGATAACAGAGTTCAAAGCAGATATTGTGGGTCATTTTGCCTTGATATTCTGGGTTACATGACCCAAGAATAACCAGAGGGTTAACATCAGTGAATGGTCTCCAGAGTACAATGTTCAAATAAATACACTATGTTGGTTCATTGTGCATATGCAAATATGGAAAAATCCAATATCCCGGAGACACATGGTACTGAGCATTTCAAATACATAACCACAATCAATACACTTACAAGAATGTACTATTCATACAAAAGCTTTAAGCCAACTTTGGTCCTCCAGATATTTCGGACTTTAGCTCCAAGATTCCTGGCTGCTGGAGAATCTGAGTTCTGGGAGCTGAAGTCCAAAACAGTGGGATGACCAAAATTTGGGATTCACTGCTTTAAACAATCTACTTCAAGATAAAAAAGACTGAAAATTACATTTGAGCACAAGAGGACTCTGAAGGAATGGTCAACTCAGGGTGTGTATACACCAGTGTTTCTCAACCTTCCTAATGCCACAGCCTCTTAATACAGTTCCACATGTTGTGGTGACCCCAACCAGAAAATTATTTTCGTTGCCACTTCATAACTGTAATTTTGCTACTGTTAGGAATTGTATTGTCAATATCTGATATGCAAGATGTATTTTCATTCACTGGACCAAATTTGGCACAAATACCCTATATGCCCAAATTTAAATACTGGTGGGGTTGGGCATCTATATAAATAAACATTGACACCAAATTTGGACACAATACACTTATCAGGCCAACGACTGACTATCACTCAAAAAAATGGATTTTGTCATTTGTGAGTTGTAGTTGCTGGGATGTATAGTCCACCTACAATCAAAGAGCATTCTGAACTCCACCAATGATCGAATTGAACCAAACTTGGCACACAGAACTCCCATCACCAAGAGAAAATACTGGAAGGGTTTGGTGTGCATTAGCCTTGAGTTTGGAAGTTGTAGTTCACCTACATCCAGAGAGCACTGTGGACTCAATGATGGATCAGGACCAAACTTGACACAAACACTCAATATGCCCAGATATGAACACTGGTGGAGTTTGGAGAAAATAGACATTGATATTTGGGAGTTGTAGTTGCTGATATTTATAGTCCACCTACAATCAAAGAGCATTCTGAACCCAACCAACAATAGAATTGAACCAAACTTCCCACACAGAACCCCCATGGCCAACAGAAAATACTGTGTTTTCTGATGGTTCTGTTGTGACCCCTTTGACACCCCCTCGTGATCCCACAGGGGGTCCCGACCACCAGGTTGAGAAACTCTGGTCTACACTTTAGAAAGAAAGCAGTTTGACACCCCTTTAACTCCCATGGCTCAATGCTACAGAATCACAGGAGCTGTAGTTTGCTGAGACACCTGTACACTAACCTGTCAAACTACACCTTCCATGATTCCACTGCATTGAGCCGTGACCACTAAAGTGATGCCAAAATACAGTAAGGATGCACTCCTTGAAAGACGCCTTGGCAAGAAGAAAAGACAACATACTAATGATCTAGTTCACTAATATACTGAAATATTGAAACAAGGAAGGGGCTACTCTGTTGATGTGTTTCTCCCTCAATGTCAAGCAGAGTTGAGCCAAACTAACAAAATGAAGTTTAACACTGACAAATGCAAGATACTCCACTTAGGCAGAAAAAACGAAATGCAAAGATACAGAATGAGGGACAATGCCTGGCTCGAGAGCAGTACGTGTGAAAAAGATCTTGGAGTCCTCGTGGACAACAAGTTAAACATGAGCCAACAATGTGATGTGTTGGCAAAAAAAAGCCAATGGGATTTTGGCCTGCATCAATAGGAGCATAGTGTCTAGATCTAGGGAAGTCATGCTACCCCTCTATTCTGCTTTGGTTAGACCACACCTGGAATATTGTGTCCAATTCTGGCACCACAATTCAAGAGAGATGTTGACAAGCTGGAATGTGTCCAGAGGAGGCAACTAAAATGATCAAGGGTCTAGAGAACAAGCCCTACGAGGAGCAGATTAAAGAGATGAGAAGGCTGAAAGGAGACATGATAGCCATGTATAAATACATGAGAGGAAGTCATAGGGAGGAGGGAACAAGCTTGTTTTCTGCTGCCCTGGAGACTAGGACGCAATGGAGCAATTGCTTCAAACCAGGGCCGTAGCCAAAAAAAAAAAATTCAGGGAGGGTTGAAAATTTTGGTGGGGGGGGGTTTGAAAATTTCAGGAGGGGGGGGTTGAAACCTGCCTCTTAGCTGACGCTGAAGCAAAGAGCACAGCAGGGGCCGAGCAGCCTTCAATAGCCTGCAGCTCCGTCCCTGTCAACCACCTCCACCAAGTCTGGCCTCCTTAATGAGAGCATTCAACACCCCCCGCCCAACTTGGTTGCTTCGCTACATCGGCTATTGCTGCAAGTAATGACAGTGTGAATAAATTGTCAATATTTGCTTGAGATAGTGCTTGCAGTTATTATTATTATTATAACTTTATTTGTACCCTGCTAGCATCTCCCAAGGGATTTGATGCGGCTTCTGAAGTTCTGAAGGGACTCTTAATTTTTGCATCTCATAGACTTAGCATGGGGATTTGGTTAACCAGTTAAAATTCATGAGTAAACCAGGTTTATTTTTTTAACCTGAAAAATTTCGGGGGGGGGGGGGTTGAACCCCTAACACCACCACACACACACACACCCCTCGCTACAGGCCTGCTTCAAACTACAGGAGAGGAGATTCCATCTGAACATGAGGAAGAACTTCCTGACTGCGAGAGCTGTTCAGCAGTGGAACTCTCTGCCCCGGAGTGTGGTGGAGGCTCCTTCTTTGGAAGCTTTTAAACAGAGGCTGGATGGCCATCTGTCAGGGGTGCTTTGAATGCAATATTCCTGCTTCTTGGCAGGGGGTTGGACTGGATGGCCCATGAGGTCTCTTCCAACTCATAGATTCTATGATTCTAAACCTGCCCCCAAATCTGAGGATCAACCCCAAAGCAAGACTCACCGCAGCATCCTTGGTGCTGTGCTGCTTCCCGAGCCATGGTTGATGCTCAGCTGAGAGATAAGAAGTGGCAATGGGCGGAAAGCCAAGGAGGGGTTCAGTCTTCCTTGCTTGCTTGCTTGCTTTCTCTGTCTCTCTCAAGAGCAGCAACCCCGAAGAGCGAGCCGCGTCTTTTCCTCCGTGTTGGTCTTTCCAAACTTAGCTAGCACTGTAGCTGAAGTCGGAAAGGGATGGCCTTATGCGCCCAAGGGGGCCGAGGACCCGCGCTTGCTTCGGGGGGAAAGAGCCCCTCAAGGAGCCCACCGCTTTCCTGGGGCCTCTTCTCCTCCTCCTCCTCCTTCTCCTGGAAGCCGAGCCTGTCCCCTTCTTCTTCTTCTTCCCTTGCGTGCCTTCCTCCTCTTTTTATCCCCAGGCTGGGCTGGTCAAGAAGGTGGAGGAGATGCCCGGGTCGCCTATCAGCGCCGGCCTGATCTGCATAGCCCCTCCCGGCTGCCGGAGAAACACAAGCGGGCCGAGTGGAAAACAGGAGGAGGAGAGCCACAGAGGGAGAGAGGCTGCTGCTGCTGCAAGTCCGGGCAGGCTGGAGCCCGGGCAGCCTGTGGGGGGGCCTTTTATAAGCCTGGCCAGGCTGGACGGAATCTCCTCCCCCTCTCCATCCAATGTGGCCCTTGGAAACAACACCCCAAAGAAGAGGGAGGCCACCAGCTCAGCCTCCCTCTTCTTCTTCCTCCTGCCTGCCTTCTTTGCCCAACCAAACCGGATCTCAAGCAGCCCTCCAGGGCCAAGGGGCCCCTCTCCAATACAGCTTCCCAAACATTGGGATGTTGTATGGTTTCCCAGCAGTATTTTCTCCTGATTCTTCACCTGCATCTGTGGCTGAAATCTTCAGCTCTTTGGCTGTGTCCTAGCAAGCATTTTCTCCTGCAGTTTCACCTGCATCTGTAGCACAACCTGGGGATCACAAGCAGACACAGTAAAGACATCTGCCCTTGCGCTATGCTACTCTGCTGCTGAGTACGCATGCCCAGTGTGGAACACATCTCACCACACTAAAACAGTAGATGTGGCTCTTAATGAGACATGCCGCCAGGCCCGTAGCCAGGATTTCGTTTCGGGGGGGGGGCTGAATTTTTTTCAGGGGGGTTTCGGGGGGGCTGAGTTTCGGGGGGGGCTGAGTCTGAGTGAAAGAGGGTCTAGCCTAGCAAACCTTTTGTATCATTACCCCAATACCCCCATGCATATGGGATATATTGAGTATGGTGATCAGATCATGATATGAATAAACATAACAGTTTAAATAATGCACCAGTAAGGCCTTTTCGTGAACCACCATGAGAATTGGGGGGGGAGCCCTCAAGCCCCCCCCCCCCCCACCCCATTTCATGTCACTAAAACAGTGGATGCAGCTCTTAATGAGACATGCCGCATTATCACGGGGTGTCTGCGCCCTACACCACTGGAGAAATTACACTGCTTAGCCGGTATTGCACCACCTGACATCCGCCAGGAAGTAGCAGCCAATAGTGAAAGGACAAAGGCAGAGACATCTCCAGCTCATCCCTTGTTTGGGTATCAGCCAGCACGTCAACGACTTAAATCAAGAAATAGTTTTCTTAGATCTACAGAGACACTCGCTGGAACACCCCAGCAAGCGAGAGTCCAAAAGTGGCAGGCCCAAACCCAGCACCTCAATCCATGGGTGATACCAGATGAGAGACTCCCCCCTGGGCACACAGAAGACTGGGCAACTTGGAAGGCGCTGAACAGACTGCGCTCTGGCACCACGAGATGCAGAGCCAACCTCAAGAAATGGGGCTACAAAGTTGAATCCACGACATGCGAGTGTGGAGAAGAGCAAACCACTGACCACCTGCTGCAATGCAACCTGAGCCCTGCCACATGCACAATGGAGGACCTTCTTGCGGCAACACCAGAGGCACTCCAAGTGGCCAGATACTGGTCAAAGGACATTTAATCAGCTACCAAGTTTGCAAAATTTGTGTGTGTGTGTTTTTTAAATCTGTGTGTTTGTTTTGTTCTGTTAGAAATGTAATACAATGGTATGATTACCGATGACACGATAAATAAATACCTGCATCTGTGCCTGGCATCCTTGGGCTGTGTGGCCATGTCCTGTTGTTCATTCGTTCAGTCGTTTACAACTCTTAGTGACCTCATGGACCAGGCCACACCAGAGCTCCCTGTCGGCCATCACCACCCCCAACTCCTTCAAGGTCAAGCCAGTCACTTCAAGGATGCTATCCATCCATCTTGCCCATGGTTGGCCCCTCTTCCTTGTTCCTTCCATTTTCCCCAGCATCATTGTCTTCTCTAAGGTTTCCTTTCTTCTCATGATGTGGCCAAAGTACTTCATCTTGGCCTCTACTATCTTTCCCTCCAATGAGCAGTTCGGCTTTATTTCCTGGAGGATGGACTGGTTGGATCTTCTCGCAGTCCAAGGCACTCTCAGCACTTTCCTCCAACACCACAGTTCAAAAGCATCTATCTTCCTTCGCTCAGCCTTCCCTATGATCCAACACAGCCTGGAAGCCACACAACACCCCAATGATTCCAGCTCTGAAAGCCTTTGACAATACATTTCCCAAACATTCCACTTTGCTGGCAAGCCCGTACAAAAGGTACTGACCCATACATCAGATTGAAATGTATGGGGATGCAATGTATTGTGTGAAAGTCTATTATTATTATTATTATTATTATTATTATTATTATTATTATTATTATTATTAGATAGGTACTGACCCATTAAACAGTTTGAAATGTATGGGGATGCAATGTATTGTGTGAAAGTCTATTATTATTATTATTATTATTATTATTATTATTATTATTAGATAGATAGATAGATAGATGATAGATAGATAGTTGTAAAGTAATCATACACATTTCAGAGATTTTTGTCCTCATCTGTTACACCACACACCTACAGACGGCAGCCAACACAGGAACTCCAGAGCTGGGTGTTGCAACACATTGCTGTGTCACTTGCAGTGTGTAGGTGTGTTAAACGAATGTAATGAGAAACCTCTGAAGGCCCTTCCAGACAGGCCCTATATCCCAGGATATGATCCCAGATATTTTATTTATTTATTTATTTATTTGCCACATTTGTATACAGCCTTTTTCAGCCTGGAGGCAACTCAAGCTGGTTCTTTATCCCAGATTATCTGGCAGTGCGGACTCATATAATCCAGTTTAAAGCAGAAAACCTGGGATCACATCCTGGGATATAGGGCTTGTCTGGAAGTGCCCCTGAGTCTTTGTGAAATTAGCAAGAAAGCATATGTATTTTTTTTAAAAAAAATATGAATGAAATCTTTTCATTATTACCATCTATGTATGTGTCTTTATTTCTTAAACTCCAGTTTGCTAGTAAAGCCAAATGACTATGTTGCGAAGTGCTGCATGTCTTTTTTTAAAAAAAATTAGCCATCCATATAAAATGTTTGGAAAAGTCTGCACTAATGTGTTGCAACCCACAGTTTGGAAAACTTCAATCCACACTGTAAAATGAATGCAGTTTGGCACCACTTTTGAATTTATTTTTATTCAGAAATACTGCCTCCAGGAAATAAGAGGGCTGTTTACTTCTTGGGAGGAGAGCAATGACCAAACTCAAGAAAATAGTGAAGAGTAGAGACATAATACTGGCAGCAAAGATCTGCATAGTTAAAGCAGTGGTATTCCGTGTAGCAACCTATGGATGTGAGAGCTGGACCATAAGGAAGGCGGAGCGAAGGAATATAGACACTTTTGAACTGTGGTGCTGGAGGAAAGTTCTGAGAGTGCCTTGGACCATGAGAAGATCCAACCAGTCCATACTTCAGAAAATAAAGCCTGACTGGTCATTGGAGGGAAGGATATTAGAGGCAAAGATGAAGTCCTTTGGCCACACCATGAGAAGAAAGGAAAGCTTGGAGAAGATAATGATGCTGGGGGAAATGGAAGGGAAAAGGAAGAGGGGCCAACAAAGGGCAAGATTGATGGATGGCATTCTTGAAGTGACTGGCTTGATTCTGAAGGAGCTGGGGGTAGCCACGGCTGACAGGGAGCTCCAATGTGGGCTGGTCCATGAGGTCATGAAGAATCGGAAGCGACTGAACAAATAAACAAAAGCTTGGAATCATAGAATTGGGAGAGACCGCAAGAGCCATCCAGTCCAACCCCCTGCTATGCAGGAAAAACATAATCGAGCATCCTCAACAGATGGCCATCCAGACTTTGCTTAAAACCCTCCAGAGGAGCATATTCCTCTGCTGAACAGCTCTTACAGTCAGGAATTTCTTCCTAATGTTTACATACATAGGCAAAAATTTACATCGTATACAAGGAGACACAAAACATAAGCAAAGGCAGAGGCTTCTCCTTTCATTTCCGGCTTCTGGAGGTGGTGCTCATCACTGGCTCTGGGGAGGTGTTTTTCTCCATTTTCAAGCCAAAGAGCCTGTATTGTCACCCCCTGGTTGTGTGGCCGGCAAGATTGCTTGGAGTGTCTCTTTGCCTTTTCCCACTGAAGGAGTACCTATTTATCTACTCACATTTGCATGTTTTCGAACAGCTAGGTTGGAGCTGGAGCTGACAGATGGGAGCTCACCCCATCTAGCAGATTCGAACTGCCAACCTTCAGGTCAGCAGTTCAGTGGCACAAGTGTTTAACCCATTGTGCCACCACAATTGACAAAATGACAAAAACTTTCATATATTTTTAAGGAAGTGTCATAAGGGTCTCTGTATCTCCAGGTTTGCTAAGCCAGTAAAAAAAAAATTGTGCACACACCCGCCTTTTAAATCAGGGAGAATATTCCTAGATGGCTTATTTCCAAATGACAATTGAGTTTTTTTTTCTCCTTTACAAAGTACTTTATTTATAAGACAAATTATAAGTGACATTTATAAGTCTTTCTAAACCATGATTTATGGGAGAAAGTCGAGTAGCAAAATTGAATTGGGAACAAAGTGCATGAAGATAGACGCCTCAATATGAAGGAGGATAAATGTATTTTTCTTTGAAATGTAGCCACAAAAGTTATACATTTGTTGAAGAAAGAGGAATAAGAATGGAGGGATGGGCTGCACCTGACCCCTGGGTCACATATGGCCCACCATTGCCTGTTGGAAATCATATTAGGGAGAATGGTTAAGAAAAGAATATACTGTGCAGATAATGGGAACCACTTACGCACCACCATCTAAAAAAGAGGAAATGCATCACCTCAAAAGGGATAGCAATTTGCATAGAATTAGAATGAGATGATTTGCATGTATAGACAGCCATACACACTATGATTCAAACAGAAAAACAATACAACTCAGCACATTTATGTATGCATTTCTGCCTTCAAGACACCTGTTGACCCCATTAATTTCATAGGATTTTCTTAGGCAAGGAATACTCAGAGGTGGTTTTGCCAGTTCCTTCTGCTGAAATATAGCCTACCTGGTATCCACTGGCAGTCTCCCATCCAGGTCTTAACCAGTGTTGATCCTTTTTAAGTCCCTAGATCAAACAGGATCTCATATAGGCCCTACAACTCACCATAGTAAAGGTTTAAAACTGT